CACTGGGCTAGAAAGTGAAAGACCGAAATAGATATTGCATAAACCCAAACAGAACTGGGCTTAGGCTGAACATCCAACTGATGTCATATTGATGATGTATGACCTAAGGCCTCTTTACATATCAAGCAACAACAAATTGTTATTGAGTCAAATATGGCAACCCAGTCCACAAACACATGACTGCTAAAAGTTGTTGGGATTGTGCCATTACTTGGGAACATTAAATGCATATTTGTGATTTTTTTTCTCAATTTTGAGTCCAACATCCTTAATGACCTGCCAGCTCATTTACAGCAGATATGCAGAGACACGGCTTCTGCTTCCTTTCTGTGCTTGCTTTGGTATCCTAATCAATGTTTTTTCAGACAACTTACTTTTGGCACTGCGCAGAGACTGGCTGATGAAAATAATATTCCGGGTTTTAAATGGCCTAAAATTTAACAATAAATCACTCTACATGAATATGCACTCTACATGTACCAATATGCACATGAAATGGTCATATCTGTTTTTTACTAATTGTTGTAAAAAGTTTTAATTCACCTCGTTCCAGCCAGGGTAAGAGAGGGGGGCAGAAGAAAGCTACTGTATAATGATAAAATTGGGTAACAGACTGAAGAGTGATTCAAGCATTTTGGTGTCTAACAATAAATCCATTTTAACTATTTAGCCAGTCAGTGCATTTCTGAATTCAGAGTCGAAGCCAATAAGTGGGTCTTAGACAAGAGATCAAGGACACTGGCTCACTTAGTATTTGGGAAAGCAATCCAGCAGAGAAAACATCTTCTTTCCCATTCATCTGACATTAAAAAAATAAAAATAATCCTTCCCTTTGATATAGTGCCTTTCACGCCAAAGCACTTCACGGGATTTACTGTAGTGACTGCATATTTTGTAAGCAAACATGGCAACCAATTTGCACAGCAATGTCCCACAAACAGCTACGAAATGAATGACCAATTTTATTTAGGAGAAAGTGACTGTTGGCTAGGTCATTGGGAGAAATTTCCTTTTTTTTAAACAATGCACGCGATCTTTAACATGCATCTGAACAGGCAGACAAAATTCATTTTAACATTTCATTCGAAGGATGGCACATATCACAGTGCAGCACACCCTAAGATTGCATTGGTGTATCAGCCGAGACGATATGAGTTCAAAGTCCCAATACAGGGTTTGAACCCACAACCTTCCAACTCAGAAGCAAGAGTCCTACCAACTGAACCAGGCTGACACCTAATGGTCCATCCTATTAAATGGCACCTCACTTAGCATCACAGATCATCTTTCCCACAATGTCTCTGGCTGCTATTTCAACCACCACTTCAATAGCATTTTGTGTAGCACATATCTGCAGCCAGTTCAGTTAGTTCTACGAAGCAATGCCTAAACTTGAAGTTACTCAATACCTCATCCACCTCCAATTGCTTCATAAGCCTTCAATTTCCAACACTGACCTAGTGACAAAATGCTTCCCAAAAAGAACAAGCTGGAAGGAGAAAGACACTATCAATTTTAAGGTTGAAGATCAAGTTCAGCTTGGTCCAAATTATGTGTGATATTCACTTTGTGGCTATTTGTTCGCCACTATTGTGTGTAAATTGGCTGCCATTTTCATCTACAAAGTACACCATCACTACACTTTACAGTAAATCCCGAAAAGTGCAGAGATTTCTGAATGGCGTGATAAGGTTTATCAAATGCAAAGATCATTCAAATCATACTTTAAATATGTATGTAGTTTTACAGCTGCTTTTCTTTAAAAGTTTACCAAATATTAGCCTGTTCAGACAGCTCTACCCCCCATTGTTAAAGCTAGAGTCTAAGAGAACACCACAACATGATATCATCATCAAGCTATTCTCACTATTCTCATTCCAAGTGTTGAGGTTTTCCGACATTTAATTAGATCACAATGTTAAAATATTGTCAAACTGAAAAGAACATTTGAAATATAATTTTAACAGTTCAAAGTTCAGTACTTAGCTCTTCCTACCCAGAAAAAAAGAAAAATGCATGCTCCTAAACACGCATTCGAAGCTCTTCAAAAAATTTCAGGTGGTAGACAATGGGCTTGAAATGAGGAGATCACCGTGACCCGAGCAAAGCCAGGTCAATTATAAGATGACAGGAAACGGAAAGTCTTTTGGAAAAGACAGCAATCAGTACTGTTCTTCCACTCAGGTCAAACTCACTCGTATTACAATTTATAGCAATTTAAAATTTACAATCCTAATAGTCTTTGGAACAATCCGTAAATATTTTCAATAGGGTAAAAAAAATTGTAGAGTACAGTATCATAAAAAAAGAGAAATTCCACTAAAAAATACTATTTGGCTTGTGTGTGTGGGGGGTGGGGGGTGGGGGGGTATGCTTCAAGTAAGAAATATACAGATATATAGTAATAGTGCTTCAAGAAAGACATATGTCATGTTGGCTTATGTTAAATTAATCCTTTCCAGCACAGCATTTCCCCAAAATACAGTTCCAAAAAGTCAGACTGGAAGCCATTTACAGCGCAATTGAATAACCACTAAACTGACTCACAGGTTCAAAAGGGACAAGCAAACTTTATTGGAACTGACCCCAGACACCACTCGGAGATCGGGATATTTACTGGCATGCTGACTTGCACATTATTCATATTCTCAGACAATATAGTCACAGAAGCATTTTTGGACACTTTAGACACTGTTTACTGAGCATTTTAAATACTTTGTAGGCTGTCAAATAAGGGAAGGTTTAAAGATTTAGCTCTGGCACAGTTTGATATTCATTAAGATTTACAAACTATATTCTTGAGTTAGAAATATTTCAGTTAGAAAGTTTTATGTAGAGAAAAAAAAACAAATGTTACTCAACACAACTACTATGACAAAACCATTAAGCATAGTGACAGGACAAAATAACTGGACTGCAATTATATATAGGAACAGGATTATGCCATTCAGCCCCTCGGGCCTGTTCCACCATTCTATAAGATCAAGGTTGATCTGTACCTCAACTCCAATTACCATCACCAAATAAAACAGAATAGTTAATCTCCCAGAATTTACCATTATATGATCTAACTCTTATTTCACCTAACAGTTTAAAAAGAATAATAATCCTTGCATTTGATATAGCGCCTTATCACGTCTTCAAAACATCTCAAACCGCTTCACAGAATATACTGTAAAGTAAACTGACTGTACATTTTGTGGGCGAAACGTGACAGCCAATTGCGCACAGCAGTGTCCAACAAACAGTCATGGATCAAGTGACCTCATTATTTTTTAGAGTGATTATTACCCACGGAAAAGCAATCCGCCAATCAATTAACAACCAGGTTCCTACTTACTACGGGGTAAACAGAGGCATGTTGAGTAAGGAAACTTGCCTAAGGTTTCGTCCTGCCCAGGAATCGAACCCAGGTCCCTTCACTTGTGAGGCAATGGATCTAACCACTAAGCTAAAGGACTCTGACAAAAGAGATGTTAAAGAGCATTTTAACTCCTGCCAAAAAAAACTATCACAAAATCTTAGAAACATAGAATTATACAGCACAAAAGGAGGCCTTTCGTCCCATCGTGTCTGTGCCCGCTCTTTTAAAAGAGCTATTCCAAATTAATCCCATTCTCCTGCTCTCTCCCCATAGCCCTGCAAACTTGTTCTCCTCAAATAATTTTGAAAACTTCTACTAAGTTTCCTCTTAACCTTCTCTGCTCCAAGGATAATAATCCTAGCTTCTCTAGCCTCTCCATGTCATTTAAACTCGCTTTTAAGGCTTATTTTACACATGGTACAATAAAGAAGGATTCCTAAGAAGGAGTAATTTGCATGGATATGAGGAAAAGGCAAGTAAATTGGAATTAATGGATTGCTTTTTCAAAGATCCAGCCAAGACAATTGGCCAAAGATCTTTTTCTGTACTGTAAATTTCTATGGTTCAAAAGCAATACGGGCAAAATAATATATTAAATGCAACTGTTACCATTGGGCAGAGTATACTGGAAACAGAATTATCTCATTCACAATTTTACATTGCATTCCTACATTAGGCTGGTGCATAAAACCTGTGAATTTAATCCCTTAAACTGGGGTTCTAACAATGATTAAGGTTCTCCAGAACAGAACACTGGAAGTGCCGGTTGAGATCACGTGAATCCAGGTCCTGAGTCGGGGCTTGAACCCATAACCTTCTGACTCAGATGCTACCAATGAGCCAGGCTGACACACAGCATGAAAAAACGAGATCCTCATACAGTACGAATATTGATTGTGATCAAAAACCACAGTACAACATGGACCATGATTTAGTACTGTATGAGGCACTCATTTTTTTCTGGTACTTTATTGTTTGTGCTCAATTATAAAGAGCTCTTACAACTAAACATGAAGAGGCAAATGCTGATACCCCATTCTATCAGATTCTCCCAGGAGGGGCCTTCAATCAAGCCTGACTGACTGTTGAGTGTTGACCACCAAACTGTAAATGTTACCGAGCTAAATATTTATGATCACTGAAGTGGAAGTCAGACCAAACACTGTATAAACAAGGTTGTTCACAATTTAGCATTGCTCCTGACAATTCCATCAAGTAGCAATTTAATTTCAAGCATTGTGTTAACCTGAAACATATCAACAAAATACAATAGACTTTCTCTTAGCTCTTTGCTTTATAAGGCTCTCTCTGGATGCCGTATGAAAACATGGTAATTCTAAGACAGCAGAAGTAATGCATTGAGAGATAGCTGAGTTACTTTTTATTTGATTAAATAAGCTAAATTAATATCAGCAGATCAAACCGAACTGATTGTAGCAGTGTAACAGAATATTTTGAAAGCTCAAAACATCTTGGTTAGCCAGAAACTGACAAACATGCAAGAAAGAAAAAACTACAGTTTTGGTTTGGTTTCCAAAATTTTACATAAATAATTCTACCTTGATTTATTTTAAACTATATTGATCCCTCCACTACCTTTTGCAAAATTCTTAAGAGAAAACTAAGATTCACTCACCTTTCTATAACCAAACTGATTGCATGGGTAAGATCTGGGTTTGCTACTTGCAGGTGCTTCCACAATGACCAAACAAATTCTTTATCAGCCTGCACAAAATACAAAAATACAAGATAAGCAAATAAAACAGTATCACATAAAAACACTTCTCAAAGCGCTTCACAGGATATACTATAAAGTGGATTGACTTTGTATTTTGTGGGAGTCATTTAAGCAGTTAGCTGTTTTTTATTGAAGTTCTGTATTGATTAGACATTACCTTGATTACACTAAAATGTAACTGGCTCTGGTATGCTTTGCACAAAACATTGCACAATTTTGGAAGCAAGATTGAAGGATCATTGCATGCGGAAAAATAGGGCAAAAATTAGTTCACAATTACAAAACAAAAGAAACATTTGTTTTTGGGTGTGGAAAGAACAATCTTTTCAGTTGGCATAATGACATGAAAAGGTACAAGATTAACGATCCAAGGGCGAAGATTCATGAATCACATGGAATTTAGAAATCTGGGTTAATCCCGCATGATATTTTTTTCAGGAAGGTGACACAACAATAGCCAAATTTCTTCCTTCAAAACAGTGCATTATTTCACAATAAAAAAACTAAGATCACTCAGATCAAAAAAGCTATAGGTTTCCACATGAAAAACAGATAGACATAATGGTGTCTAATTATTTTTTTTAAAAAAAGTATTTTATTCGACAGCTCCAGCTGGTTTTAAAGAAATGCACTTGGCTTTACCATGAAAACTGCCAACTTCTTTCTTTTCATAAATAATGGTGCGCTGTATTCAAACAAGGAAGGCTGCAGATACGAAGGGAGGATCCCACTCAGAGTGTGCGTGGGATTCCAGCTGCGGTCTGCCTGCTGCTGAACAGGATAAAAAGCTCAGTTGTGTTTAAATTAGGAATGTCGGCTTGGGTCAGCAGGCAGCAATGCAATCCCAATAGCAATGTTATCAAGCAAATGTATGATAACATGTCATATTGAAACTATTATCACATTGTTTGGGAGAATGCTCTTCTGAAAATCCAGCAGAGACTAAAGGGGCATTCTCTACTAATTCATGGTGAAAACGAGCAATAAATTTATAAACTACATCTAAAAGGCATCAGAAATGTATGAAATGCACAACTAAAAGGAGACTTCAAAAATAACTTTATATTACATAACTTATATAACATGTTACATATGTGTTTATGTAACAACCGCAACATAAACATCTCAGAGCACTTTACAGAGTCAGTGTCGGGTACGCAGTCTGTCTATGTGTGCAGTCGGGGGAGAAGGTATCGTCCAAGAATTTGTTTTTTAGATTGCTTTTGAAGGTCGACAGATATTGAGGGCGGGGGGGGGGGGGGGGGGGGGAGGAGAGGAGACAGAAAGTTTGAGATAGAGAGGGAGAGAGTATCAAAGGTTAGTGGTACAGTGGCTTAAGGCTTGGCTGCCAATGGTGGTGGAGGTTCCAATAATATTAAACATCATGACTTACTAATAAAGAACTTGCATACAAGTCTCATGTCAGAATAAGACTAAATCAGAGAAAGCACATTTTCACTGAGAGCAGAAAATGAAAACAACAAGCAGTAACATGACAATATTCAGAGTACCATTGATATTCAGAGTACCACATGCAGGCATTGACTTTTTTTCCATAGCACTTTACCCAATCATAAGCTGGCTCCAGACATCCAACCAAAATGCATCATTGCTGGATTTGGAGTAGAAAGCGGAGTTACAAGTTCGAACCTGAAGAATGTGGGGAGGACACAAACCTGAGATTAAAACTTATAGCTGTCAACCACTTACACGGCAGCTCCACAGAGCTGTGCCTGAAGAAACAAAAACTTGCACTTATATAGCGCCCTCCACGCAGGGTAGCGTCTTCCGAGTGCTTAACCGTGGCAGAGACTGACTCCGAGCTGGGGGGAAGAAGGGTGGTGGCTGTAAGCACGGTCGAAGAGGAAAGTTTCCAGGCGGGACCTGAGAGAGGGGGCAAGGTGGAGGGATTGAGGGAGAGTGTTCCAGAGTTTTGGGGCGCAGTGGCTGAAAGCGTGACCTCCAATGGTGGGGGCGGAGGGTGCGAGGGATGAGCAGGAGGCCGGTGCCAGTTGAGTGGAGGCACCAGGTGGTGGATTGGGGAGTGAGGAGGTCGGAAAGGTAGGGAGGTGCCAGGGAGTGAATGGATTTGAACACGAGAGTGAGATTCTTGAAGTCAATCCGTTCAGTGATGTGGAGCCAGTGGAGCCTGGCCAGAACTGGTGAGATGTGGCTACCAAGTTTTGTCCAGGTCAGCAGATGGCAGAGTTTTGAATGAGCTGGATCTTTTGAATGGTGGAGACGGGGAGACCGGTGAGGAGTGTGTTGAAGTAATCCAGGCGGGAGGTGACAAACGCATGTATGAGGGATTTGGCTGCATTTGGGGTAAGGTGCAATCGGAGGCGGGCAATGTGGCGGAGATGGAAGGAGGCGGTCCCAGTCAAAGACTGGATGTGGAGGAGGAAGGACAGTTGTGGGTCGAACCGGGCGCCTAGGTTGCGCACTGGTTCGGCGAGTCTGAGGAAGACCCCAGGGAGGTTGAGGAGTTTAGATCCGCAAGAGTGAAAATGTTGACGGGAGCCAAGGAGTATGGCGTCCATCCTGTCCATATTCAGCTGCAGGAAGTTTACACTCATCCAGGCCTTGATGTATGCCAGACAAGCTGATAGAACATCGGCGGTACTGGAGGAGGCAAAGTAGATTTGCGCGTCATCCGCATATATGTGGAAATTCACCCCGTATCTGCGCATGACATCGCCCAGCGGGACCATATAGATAAGGTAAAGGGCCAAGGATGGAGCCCTGAGGTACCCCAGAGGTGACCAGGCGGGGGCGAGAGCGGTTTCACTAAGGTAGATGAGGGAGGAGAGAGCCAATGGAGGAGGATGGCGTGATCGACTGTGTTGAACACGGCAGAGATCCAGGAGGTCAAAGAAGCAGAGGGAGCCCTGGTCACAGTTAGAAAGAATGTCATTTGTGACTTTGACAAGCGCTGTCTCTGTCCTGTGGGCAGGGCGAAAACCAGACTGCAGGGCTTGAGGAGGGAGTGGTGTGACCGAAGTTGACCTACAACAATGCGTTCCAGAAACGCCTCAAACATGCCAGAAATCTGGGTGTAAATGCTTTTTTTAAAAAAAAGTGGCAAATGCCAATCATTTTGGCTTAACGCTATACAATATCACAAAAGCTACAGATGCTAAAGGCCTTTCTGTTCATTTGATCTTATCTTTCCAGATCCTCACCCCACCATCTAACATTGCAGCCTGGTTCAAAGAACCTAATTCGCAGCAAGTAAAAACAATAAAGCTCATTGGTTTTGATGTTGTAAACTAAATCCCAACTCTTACCAAATTTTACTTAATTAGTTAATTTTATCCCCCTCAATATTTTCCCTTTGTTTTAACATTAAAAAACTAGGTTTTCATTTTACATTTTAAAAAAATCACTTCAATGGTCCTTAAGTAAATACTATGCAACTGAAAAAGAGCAAAGATATTCTTTGACTTCAAATAGAAAATAAAAACAAGCATGAAATATTTTGCCTTAGTGGTAGACTGGATACTGTGAAACATTAAATCATTGGATTCTACACGATTTCAATGATGTAATAGATTAACTGAAACGTTATTGATCCAATTTTCCAACAGAATGGGTATTAAATCGCAGTAAAAGTTTGTATTTGTAAAGAAACCATAATGATGAAAATTGTAGTTTTGTTTCTAACTGGAGTAAGGATTCAATGGAGGATTAATATACAATGTACACCTCTTGATTATCAGAATCCAGTAGACATATTGAAACATGTATTACTACCAATAATAGTTAGCAATTATTGATCCTATTGGCTGTGAGAATGTGTAAGAACACATGATAAAATCTTGCAATCCTAGAATGAGCATCACAGCAGCAGCTCAGTAAGTCGTTTAACCAAGGATCACAATGAGCATTCCATGTGAGAGAGTGTCTCGTGTTTAAAACTTCACACATAAAACATACTGGAATACTTATTCTAACCACAAACTTCACAATCACAATGCTGTTTCGGAGCCAATATTTCTTTATTATAAGCAGGGTGGTGCTGCATGACCGACCGACCCTGTATCACACATTTTTTTCATTGTTTTGTCAGTTTTTTCAAATGAAGCAACATCCTTCCTGGCTTCATTTCAATCACTTTGGACTGGTTGAACAGTGACAGTAAGTTTAACCATATTCTTTGTTTTCGTACATATATTTGACTTTTGGTAAGAACAGCTCAGAATATTAAGCCTGGTTTAAAAGCAGAAATGTTGAGAAACAGAATAAGCAGATAAAAAATTATGACTTGGCCAAAGGAAAAGCCTGAACTGACTGCTGAGAAACACGTTAATATCTGGGAAGACAACAAATTAACATGTTACATCCAAGATAATCCACCATGATGCACATCAAATTCAACAAAAATAACTTGCATTTATGATACCACTTGTCATGTAAGAACTTCTCAGAGTGCTTCTAATGGGGTTGGATACTGAGCTATGGGGGGGGGGGGGTTCTACAAATACCGGTTCTACAAATTCAGAGGAAAATCAGCCAAGGTTCCCACTCCCATTGACTGCTACAACAACAATTTGGAATTAGAACGCTTTCATACAGCATAACATCCCAAAGCTCTTGACGGAGATGGACAGGGAGCCCAAGTTGGGTGGAGTAGACAGGAGAGGTGGCCAAAAGTTCAGTCATAGTAATACATTTTTAGATAGATTTTGCAAAGAAAAGGGAGGAGGCAAGGCAAAAGGATGTCCAGAGAGCATGGATATTTAAGATCATGAAGAATTTTGGAAAACATTCAATCTGAATTTGAAAAAAAAATCCAGTTCTTTTTCTGTACTTTGGACAATCAGCTTCCAAATTAAAATTGAATTTAAGACTGTTTTCCAAAATTGCTCACAATTTTAAATGGTGACTTTTAAATGTTAAGAGTAAAAGGAATTTGCGGTCTTAGTTGAACAGGATGAAGTTTGGCTGTGATGCCCCTCTGTTTGGAGAATGCAGGCATCCCTCACGCAAGAGGAATAGGGAAATGGGGGAATAATCAGCGTGAATGAAACTGTTCTTAAGCACGAGTGAGTATTTCAGGAGAAAAGTGGAAAGGGAAGCATAAAACAACTCAAAACACAGCCACCATGAAGGATAATAATAATCATCACATTTGATTTTGCACCTGATCACATCATCATAATGTTTCAAAGTGCTTATACTATAAAGTAGTTTTGACTGTTGTGGGTAGTAACCAGTTACATACATCAACGTCCCACAAACAGCCATGGAGTGAATGATCAATTTTATTTGGGGGATTGTTAGCCAGGAGAAAACTCCCTTCTCTTTTCGAATAGTGCCAAGAGATCTTTAATTTCCACCTGAACAGGCAGACAGGACCTCAGTTTAGCATCTCATACAACGGATGCAGCAAACCCCCGGCACTGCACTGGATTGTCAGCTTATACTGAGATTCCAAGTCCCAACATGGGGCTTGAACCCACAACCTTCTGACTCAGAGGAGAGTACTACCACTAAATCAGGCTGACACACAATTTAGGATTTAGGTTTCTTGTTGGCATGGAGATCTCAGATCAATTAAAGCATTCAGCTCGTATCTTGTATTTTACAGTAATTAGTTTTATGTCCCCATTGACATAAAACTTGCTGTATCATTCACTTCCACCTTAGCATTAGAAATCAAACAACAATAATGAGTAAATTACATTGTAAACAGTTAACAAAATTAACAGGGTAGGATGGCAGATAGCACCATAGTGCGCCTGAATTGCAGAGCACCACATAATGGAAGGTTTGCCCAGAGTCTGTGACCTCTGCTAAACTACCATGAGTACACATTTGCCCACAGGCAGTCATTCTGGCACCTGGTTCTTGAGAACATCAGAGTCGCATCCAGAGTAGGCTGTACTTTGTCATTTATTTTATTATTGATTATTTCAACACCATGCTCGCCAGACTCCCCCGCCCCCAACTCTTCTATATACAAGCTACAAAACTATCAGACCACTGACTAACTATCCTCCTGCAATAACAGGAGGGAAGCAGGGTCTCCTTGGAGCTGAACTGGCTCCAAGGTGTTGTGGTTGGCAATGGAATGCTGGAATCAAGTCAACCTTCTGTGGTGATCTCAGTTGTCTGGTTTCTGAGCCACGCAGCAGGTCCCACTAACCTGGCCTAACAGATATGGTGGTCCTAGCTGGACAAGCAGCAGGAAGCTTGCCAGACAGTACTTTCAATGGCAAGCTTCACAATTTTAGATGGGTAAACTCCAGCTTTATTCCAACACACTCTGGGCTCCCCAGGCTTGGTTCTTGCCAGCCTGCACCTTATCCTCTTTGGAATTATGCAAACAGGATGTGTCCCTCCAGGGAGAGAATGGGTATGCCATTCCAATATTCAGGAATTTCAATGTGTAGGTGGGATGCATGGAATTCAGTTTGAATATTCTTCAGCATGGTGATGGATTTCTGCATGTGTCAGTCACGCAGCTGACCAAAGAAAAAAATAATTTGCATCTCATTTTCTTTCCTGCACCAGCTTGATGAGTGTATTACCCCCATCTTTGCTCACTTCCACTGGTTGCCCAAATCAAATTCGAGATCCTTGTCTTCACATTCATATCCCTCCATGCCCTTTGAAAACCACTATATAAAATGTAAGTTGTTTTGTTATTATTGCAAACATCATGCAACTCTCACAATAGGGTGGGTGGGGGGGATGCTATTGTGGTTTTAATCTAGAATTGTATGACCAACCTGTTAAAATTAATCATATCTTGTAGTTAAAAGACAGATGTAATAATATTAAAGGTTTACCATATTAATTTGCATGGCATGTTACTATAATTAAAATAATATATTTTTTTTAATAATTATAGTAAAATAAAATCTAGGAGAGGAGATTCTCACCATTTTATCCTCAACTCCTGAAAATATTTTATGATTTTTTTTCTTCGACAAGAAATTATTCTATTAGCACTCTTACTTGTCCAAGCACCCACTATTCACAAGTGAGCCTTGCCAGTGAGCATTGGCACGCTTTTCAACTGTGGGGGCGTCACAGTGCAAGACATTAATGGTTTATGTACTGAGACTGTCGTCAATACCATTTGCAATTGTAATTTAACTCCCAAATCGTACTATTTTCATTATAGACCCTGGAGGAAATTTCCCATCAGCTGTAATAGCCATTAACAAAGAAATTGTGTGTTAAATCGACCTGATTAGCAGATATGGGGGGGAAATTGCAAGAAAGCTCAGAGCACACGGATCAGAGAAAATAAGACACCAATAAGGCCTCGTAATGAGCATTCAATGGACACATTAGCATACAGAACAAAAGAAGTGCAGAGTCAGTAGTAAAGGAAGAAGATATCTTTAACCTGATCACAGAGCAAAAAATATAGAAAGCAAGAAGTATCCCATAGAATGTTAAGAGGAAGAGGGCAATAATATGGCAAGGCTCACATGTGAATATCGCTGCTTGGACAAGTAAGAGTAAGCTCTGTCCACTGGTAACCCCATTCCAATCCAGAAGAACTGAGTGGAGATTGTGACCTAAATGAATGCAGTATCCACCACTCAACAGTTGGCATGAAGCAAGGAGATTCCATTGGGTGAGGGGTGTTGGGAAATCATACAAACAAAAACTGGCAAGTAACAACCAAGCCCAATCATCCTCACACACCACAGAAGCCCAAGTCGCTGATTTGAAAAGCAGAGAAGGCAACAGTCGAGCTGTTGTGGTATGAATTATAGGGTTTGTCATAAGGTGAAATGGGCTGCACAGATGTTGGTAAATGTGTGCTTTTTTGCGATATTTATCCTACTGTTTGGGGAACATTGCTGTGCACAAATAATTTCTTTTCCAAAAAATAAATTATTATTATTATTTTGGTCACTCAATCCACGACTGTTTGTGGGCCACTGCTGCGAGCAATTGGCTATCATGTTTTGCCCACAAAATACACTCAATTCACTTTACAGCATATTCTGTGAAGTGCTTTGAGACGTCTGGAAAACGTGATAAAGCGCTATATCAAATGCAAGGATTATTATCTGCCACTTTTGCCTACAGATGCATACTCACTGCACTTTACAATAAATCCTATGAAGCACTTTCAGACTTAACAACACAAGAAGTTATGTAAAATGCAAGGATTACTATCATTATAGAACTATATTTCTTTAATGTATTTAATAGATATCAACTTGGCTCAGTTTGCTGCACATGTGCAGAGTGGAAAATGACATTGGCAATGATTTGATAGTCCAAAAAAGCAATTCAAGCTCTGATATTTCAGTTTATAATGCTGACATTGTTATCTGAAACCATGAAATCAAATTACATACAATATTCTCAGGGCAATAGGTCTCAAGATATGTGAGTTATTTGAATGATGGTCGCTCTGTAGTTGAAAAAAAATAGAAAGATTTCTCTTCATTTTTCATTTATTTACACATTCACCATTTCTGCAAATCAAGTGATAGATAGTTGCCTCAATTGTATCAATTCGAAGGTGGGTCAATGTAAACAAATAAAATCTGTAACTAATCAAACAAACAAACATACCTGACATTGAGCAAGTTCCTCTGACAGTTTTCGAACTTCCTCCGACAGTTTCCGGATTTTGCTTTGCTCTGAAGTCATGATTATCTTTAACCAAAAAGAAAAGCATTAAAATCAGGATTAATAACATTTTTACATTTTATCCAACGCATTGAAACATCTTACACAGCTTCACATAACAGGATATTAGTGTAGTGACTGCCTTTAACAAACACAGCAACTAATCTCTACCAAGATCAGCTCACAAAAACCAATGGGGCAAACTAACACATTTAATCTGTGTTTAGGTAGATATGGACGAGTGCAGAATATTAAAACTGCAAGAAATAAACTGTCAATTATTAAGACAGAGGAGTGTTAGGGGAAAAAGATGGAGGGGCTGGGCTGAATATCTCATTCCATGCTGCATCACTCTATACAAGGCAATTGTTTTTCCACTTTTTGCTGACATTATTTGAGTTGGATATTTTTTGTTGCAATTCCACCAATCACTCTGGTTTAATCAAGAATCACTTCTCTGCACAAGAGAGCATCCAGTTGCATGCTGCCAAACCCATGCAATGTTTTAGATTGCTCCTGTATTGATGATAGGTAGCACACAAAATTTTACCTCTGTTAATTCATTGCTTAGACAAATATTTTTATTATATTAATGTTGAAATATGTACAATAATCACTGCAGCAAGTAGGTACAAAATCCATGTGTGTATACTTGGAAATCCATTATAATGACCCCACTACCACACTGCCTCACACGCCAGTGTCCCATGGACCCGTCCTAATACACCTACTTTATGGTACTATCGGCTTCGCCAATGCCAACACTACATTAGATCATATTGTAAAATTTAGAAAGTAGCAGCAATACGAAAATAATCAGAAAATACTCTTTTTTTAAAAAAACAGCTATAGCACCAGAACTACAGCACCCAACCCCAGTGCAGGGCCTCTCCGCAACCCCCACCCAGGAGTGCAGGGCCTCTCCCCCCCCTTTCCCAGAGTGCAGGGCCTCTCCCCCCCAGAGTTCAGGGCCTCTCCCCCAACCCTCCCCCAGAGTGCAGGGCCTCTCCCCCCCCTCCCCCAGAGTGCAGGGCCGCTCCACCCCCTCCCCCAGAGTGCAGGGCCTCTCTCCCCCCACCCCCCCCAGAGTGCACGGCCTCTCTCCCCCCACCCCCCAGAGTGCAGGGCCTCTACCCCCCTCACCCAGAGTGCAGGGCCTCTACCCCCCTCCCCCAGAGTGCAGGGCCTCTCTCCCCCCACCCCCCCAGAGTGCAGGGCCTCTCTCCCCCCACCCCCCAGAGTGCAGGGCCTCTCTCCCCCCACCCCCCCAGAGTGCAGGGCCTCTCTCCCTCCACCCCCCAGAGTGCAGGGCCTCTCTCCCCCCACCCCCCCAGAGTGCAGAGCCTCTCCCCCCCTCACCCAGAGTGCAGGGCCTCTACCCCCCTCCCCCAGAGTGCAGGGCCTCTCTCCCCCCACCCCCACAGAGTGCAGGGCCTCTCTCCCCCCACCCCCCCAGAGTGCAGGGCCTCTCTCCCCCACCCCCCCAGAGTGCAGGGCCTCTCTCCCCCCACCCCCCCCAGAGTGCAGGGCCTCTACCCCCCTCACCCAGAGTGCAGGGCCTCTACCCCCCTCCCCCAGAGTGCAGGGCCTCTCTCCCCCCACCCCCCCAGAGTGCAGGGCCTCTCTCCCCCAACCCCCCAGAGTGCAGGGCCTCTACCCCCCTCCCCCAGAGTGCAGAGCCTCTCCCCCCCTCCCCAGAGAGCAGGGCCTCTACCCCCCTCACCCAGAGTGCAGGGCCTCTACCCCCCTCTGCCCCAGAGTGCAGGGCCTCCCCCACCCAGAGTGCAGGGCCTCTCCCCCCCAGAGTGCAGGGCTTCTCCCCCCAGAGTGCAGGGCCTCCCCCACCCAGAGTGCAGGGCCTCCCCACCCAGAGTGCAGGGCCTCTCCCCCCCCAGAGTGCAGGGCCTCTCCCCCCCCAGAGTGCAGGGCCTCTCCCCCCCCCAGAGTGCAGGGCCTCTCCCCCCCCCAGAGTGCAGGGCCTCTCCCCCCCAGAGTGCAGGGCCTCTCCCCCCCCCCAGAGTGCAGGGCCTCTCCCCCCCCAGAGTGCAGGGCCTCTCCCCCCCCCCCCAGAGTGCAGGGCCTCTCCCCCCCAGAGTGCAGGGCCTCTCCCCCCCCCCCCAGAGTGCAGGGCCTCTCCCCCCCCAGAGTGCAGGGCCTCTCCCCCCCCCCCCCCCAGAGTGCAGGGCCTCTCCCCCCCCAGAGTGCAGGGCCTCCCCCCCAGAGTGCAGGGCCTCTCCCCCCCAGAGTGCAGGGCCTCTCCCCCCCCAGAGTGCAGGGCCTCTCCCCCCCAGAGTGCAGGGCCTCTCCCCCCCCCCCAGAGTGCAGGGCCTCTCCCCCCCAGAGTGCAGGGCCTCTCCCCCCCCCCAGAGTGCAGGGCCTCTCCCCCCCAGAGTGCAGGGCCTCTCCCCCCCCCCCCCAGAGTGCAGGGCCTCTCCCCCCCAGAGTGCAGGGCCTCTCCCCCCCAGAGTGCAGGGCCTCTCCGCTGCCGCTCTCCAGGCTCGGGAGCCCCGCGTTGCCGTGTGGGCCGGTTTCCCTGGTAACGGCGACAGCCGCGCGGGGCCCTGCGGCTCAGAGCCCGAGTCTGGGTCTGGGACAACAACATCTCCTCTTCCCCCCCACCGGAGGGCTCGGGGGCGGGGGGGTGGGGGGGGCACCAAACACCAGGACAAAGACACAAGTCTTAAGAGCCTCTGAAGCAAAGAGTCAGTGTAAGAATCGTCAACAAGTTGGGAGTTGGAGGGGAGTGGACCCTCTCTCTCTCTCTCTCTCTCTCTCCTCTTCCCCCTCCGTCATCCACAACATCTTCACCGGTGCTCACAGACGTGTAACCGATGTGTCCGTAACAGCGGCGGCGACAATAACAATAACAATAAAAAACAACAACAGAGACCGAGAGGCTCCGGGAGGGGGAGGGGGGGAGGGAGGGGCAGAGACACGCACCGGCGCGGCCTGTGTGCCGACAGCCCCGCAGCCTCTCCGCCTCGCGCGGCTCCAACGGTTCAAACCTCCGCGCGCCCTCTCTCTCTCCCCCCCCCGGGCCCCGTCCCCACCGCGCAACATCCGCTTCCGGCCTCTGCCTGGCGCGCGCACGCGCGCTGGCGCACTCCCTTTCCCTCCCTGCGGCGCCAGCAGCGGCTCAGCCACGTGCCGTCTGCACGTCAGACCCGGAACAGCGACGCGATTGGGAATGTAGAAGTGAATGAGTGTGTTATATGTGTTGGTCAGTTTTGGACAACTGACATATAAACTAAGTGACGGGGACATACCCCCCTACACCCCCCCCCCCCCCCCCCACCACCACCACCTCCACCTCCTCCTCCTGGTTCTGCCACTGCAAAGCACTGAATCCGCACAACATTGTTCGGCCAACACCGTGACGCGATTTCTTCAGTCATGGGGATTGTTTGACCAGGAAACCGGGAGAAACTCCCTTCGCGTTGGGAACAGCGGCACAGGACTTTTAATGTCCACTTCAAACCTCCAATGGGATATTGCGGTGACTGTGAGACCCCCTGCGGTCGTGACTCTGCCGTAACTTTATGAGAAGCGCGCAGAGGAAGTGTTGCTGAAATCCATAGGAGAAAAATACAACTTTTTAAAATGTTGTGAAAAATATGGTACGCGGCGTGATAATTATACTAGGGGTATCATAGAGTTATACAACAACAACAACAAACAACAACAAAATCGTATATCGCCTTTCACGTCGGGAGGACCTCCCAAGGCTCTTGACAAACTGTGTTTCGGACCCAAGCTGGGGATCAGGGACGGTGGAGGACGGGGGGGGGGAAGGAGGATCAAAAGCTCGGTCGAAGAGGAGTCTTGAGATGCGTCTCGAAGGAGGCAAGGGAGGGGGCAAGGTGGTGGGTCTGTGGGATGGAGTTCCAGCAGGTGGGAGCAGAGAAGAAACAGGCAGGATGGTACAGGGTTAAGGAGGTCTCAGCGGTAGGGGTGGAGCAAAGCCAATGGAGAGCTTTGAAGGTGAGGACCAGGATCTTGAACTGTATCCTATGTGCGATGGGAAGCCAGTGGAGTCGGGCCAGGAAGGGGGCAATAGGGTCACGGAGCCTGGTGCAGGAGAGAGCATGGGCTGCAGAGTTCTGGATAATCTTCAGCCTATGGAGGGAGGAGTTGGGGAGGCCGACAAGCAAGTAGCTTGCATAGTCAAGCCTGACCCAACTGTACAGCGCCTTGGGACTTCCTCACGACGTGAAAGGCGCTCTATAAATGGAATCTTGTTGTTGTTGTTGATGTAATGAAGACGTGTATGAGGGTTTCGGTGGCCTGCGGAGTGAGACAGTGGCAGAGCCGGGTGATGTTGCGGAGGTGGGGGGAGCCAGAGCGGATCATGACCTGGATGTGGGGTAGAAAGGATAGTTGAGGGTCGAACAAGGCCCCAAGTTTCTGGACTGGCTTAGTAAGCTGGCGCATGCATCCACGGATGGTGATGCTGTCAGCCCCTGAGGTGCGGATGCACTGACGGAAGCCAATCAGTAGAGCCTCGGTTTTGTTGACATTCAACTGAAGAAAGTTAGCTCTCATCCAGCACTTGATGTCTGACAGACATTCTGTCAGGACAGCAGTGGTCCTGGAGTCAAGGGTGGAGGCAGAGAGGTACAGTTGGGTATCATCCGTGTACATTTGGAAGTTGACCCCCGTGTCTGCAGATGATGCCACCTAAGGGGAGCATGTAGATATTGAAGAGTAGGGGACCAAGGACAGAGCCCTGAGGAACACCACATGAGACGATGCGGGGGCTAGAGGAGAAACCATTTGTGGAGATGAAGTGGAGGCATTGTGAGAGGTACGATCTGAACCAGTCAAGAACAGAACCGTGAAAGTTGAGGTGGTGGATGAGGATAGAATGGTCGACCGTGTTGAAGGTAGCAGAGAGGTCAAGGATGACGAGGAGGCAGAAGGAGCCCTGGTCACAGATGGACAGAATGTAATTTCTCACTTTGACCAGGGCTGTTTCTGTGCTGTGGGCGGCACGGAAACCCAATTGGAGGGGTAAGTGAAGGGACTGATGGGAGAGGAAGGAGCGAAGCTGGGAAGCAACAACTTGTTCCAGGACCTTGGAGGGGAAAGGGAGCTTGGAGATAGGGCGGCAGTTTGAGAGTAGAGATGGGTCCAGTGAGGGTTTTTTTAAGGATAGGAGTGACGACAGTGGTTTTTAATGGGATGGGAACAGTACCAGTGGACAGAGAGAGGTTTATGATGTCTGTGAGTAGAGGGACAAGGAGGTGGAGCTGGGAGGTAAGGAGAGGGGTAGGGATGGAGTCAAGGAGCAGGTGGTCGGTTTCATGCGTATTATAGTGGTGGTAAGAGAGGAGTGGGAGACAGCTTCGAAGGTGTGGAGGGAGGGATGGGTAGAGGCTGGGGTGGGAGGAGGAGATGGGGAGGGTGTAGCACATGGAATGGCAGAGGCAGCTGAGCGAATCCCTTCGACCTTGGATTCAAGGAAATCCAGCATGGCCTCACAACTGGCTTTTGAGGTGAGAATGGACAGAGGAGCGTGTTGGTGATGGAGAAGAGGAGCCTGGGGTTGTCCTTGGCTCAAAATTCTCCTCCTCTACCGGCCCCCTAAAACCTCTCCCACCTTCATCTCCGATATTTCTACCCTCCTAACATCTCTCTGCCTCTGCTCTGATCGCCTCATCATCCTGGGCGACTTCAACCTGCACTTCACCCCCTTCTGCCTGCTCCATCTCCTCGGACTTCTCCTCCCTCCTCTCCTCGCTCAACCTCTCCCTCCACATCAACTCCGCCACTCACATTCACGGCCACCCATTTGATTTGTTGATCACCCAGGGCCTCAATGTCTCGGATGTCACCATTACCGACAAGGCCGTCTCTGATCACCACTTCATCTCCTTCACCACGTCCACCAGACCCACCACCATCTTCTACCGCCCCTGGAAGAAGTTACCTCCACAATCCCTAACCGCTGTCTTGGAGTCCTCTGAACTCCTCTCCCTCTGGCCTTCATCCCTCACTGACCCCTCTTCTGCTCTCACCCTCCTCCACAACACCCTCTCCTCCACACTTGACACTCTTGCCCCCATCACCTCCCGTACTGTCGTTCCTCCCCCTGGTTCACCACCCACCTCCGCTCACTGAAGAGCCAGGTGCGGGCCGCTGAACGCACCTGCCTCAAATCTGGCCTAATGGTCCACTGGCAAATCTGGCTGGACCTCCTCAAAAATCTACCGCTCCACTCTAGCCTCGGCCAAGTCGTCCTTCTACTCCAGGATAATCCTGGAGGGGAAGAACAACCCCAGGCTTCTGTTCTCCACCACATCCCGACTCCTCCGTCCTCCCCGCCACCCCTTGCAGGTCATCTCCTCCAACCTTCACTGCGAGGAGATGCTGGATTTCCTTGAATCCAAAATCAAGGGAATCCGCTCCGCGGTCACTGCCCCTCCAACTTCCATCCACCCACCACCCCTTCCCTCCCACACTTCGACTCCTACCCATCCTCCCCTACACACCCTTGAACCCGTTTCCCCACCCTCTGTCACCAAACTCATCCTGTCACTGAAACCCACCACCTGCTCCCTGGACCCCATCCCCACTCCACTCCTTATCTCCCAGCTCCACCTCCTTGCCCCACTTCTCACAGACACTATTAACCTGTCCCTCTCCTCTGGCTCTGTTCCCATTCCCCTCAAAACTGCCACCATCACTCCCACATTGAAAAAATCCTCCCTTGATGCTTCGTAGCTATCAAGCTACCGGCCCATCTCCAACCTCCCCTTCCTGTCCAAGGTTCTCGAAAGAGTTGTCGCCTCCCAGCTGCGCTTTTTCCTCTCCACCCATTCACTTTTCGAACCCCTCCAGTCGGGTTTCCGTGCTGCTGATAGCACGGAAACCGCCCTGGTCAAGGTCACCAATGACATCTTGACCATCTGCGACCAGGGCTCCCTCTGCCTCCTCGTCCTCCTCGACCTATCGGCCACATTCGATACGGTCGACCACTCTATCCTCCTCCACCGCTTGTCCTCCCACCTCAACCTTCAAGGCCCTGTGCTTGAGTGGTTTAGGTCTTACCTTTCCCACCGTCTTCATTTTGTCTCTGCAAACGGCTTTCCCTCCAGCCCCCGCACTGTCTCGTGCGGTGTCCCTCAGGGCTCTGTCCTCGGTCCCCTCCTCTTCACCCTCTATATGCTCCCCCTTGGTGACATCATCCGCAGACATGGGGTTAACTTCCACATGTATGCGGATGACACCCAACTCTACCTTTCCTCCTCTACCCTCAACTCCACGACCACCGATGTCCTGACAGCTGCCTGTCCGACATCGAGTCCTGGACGAGAGACAACTTTCTCCAGCTCAACGTGTGCAAAACTGAGGCCCTCCTGATTGGCTCACGTCAGCGCCTCCGCACCTCAGGCGCTGACACCATCAGCATCCAAGGCTGCACTCTCCACCTCTCAAAGCCAGTCAGGAACCTCGGGGTTCTGTTCGACCCTGAGCTGTCCTTTCTTCCCCACATCCGCGCCACAGCTGGCACCGCCTTCCATCACCTCCGGAACATCGCCAGACTACGGCACTACCTCACCCCTCACGCTGCTGAAACTCTGGTCCACGCCTTTATCACCTCAAGGCTGGACTATGGGAACTCTCTCCTCGCCGGCCTTCCCGGCACCTCCCTCCACAAGCTGCAGGTCATTCAGAACTCTGCAGCTCGTGTACTGTCCCGCACCAGGCTTCGGGACCACATCACTCCCACCCTCGCTCGCCTCCACTGGCTTTCCATCCCCCAGAGGATCGAATTCAAGATCCTCATCCTCACCTACAAGGCCATTCATGGCCTTGCTCCCTCCTACCTCTCCGACCTACTATCCCCCCACGTATCTGCCCGTACCCTTCGTTCCTCTGGCTCCAGTCTGCTCCACATCCCCCGCCCCAACCGCCCTACCATCGGTGGCCGGGCTTTCAGCTTCTCAGCCCCCAGGCTCTGGAACTCCATCCCCCAGTGCCTTCGCCGCCTCCTCCCTTTCCTCCTTCAAGGCCGGTCTCAAGACCTTTCTCTT